TTGTTACCCGCGGGTACGGGGGAGCTGAATTTAAATTTACGGGGTAACACATGGGTGAGGAACGTTCCCCTAAATTTTCAGCTTCCCAGCTTTTGTGGTTCCCGAGTTGAAAGTTGCGGACAAGCCCCTTAAATTTTCAGCTTCCTAGCTTTTGTGGTTCCCGAGTTGAAAGTTGCGGACAAGTTGCTGCGTTAAATTTTCAGCTTCATAGCTTTTGTGGTTCCCGAGTTGAAAGTTGCGGACAAGTTGCTGCGGGAAACGTTACCCTAAATTTCCAGCTTCCTAGCTTTTGTGGTTCCCGAGTTGAAAGTTGCGGACAAGTTGCTGCGGACACAAACGCATACACACACAAACACACACACAGACAACCCCTGATAATATGCGTTTTGTACTGCTGTTACACAGCACAAAACGCATAAAAATGTATACGACTTAATGGACCAGAACATTTCTTACTATTATAATATTTGACTTCTATTAATTTCATAATATTGTTTTCTCTTGTCCTCTTTTTCCAATTTTAAAATATTTTTGCACTAAAAAAGCCAACAGTGCGGTGAAAAGACTCGTCTGGGTACCTATGCGAAGTTAACTGAATATGATCAGCTCATAAAGAGAAAGGTGTCAGGGTGTACAAACTGCGAAAAACAGCATTTCAAGGAAAGGGCAGCTTATTTCGATATATATATCAAAGCAAGAAGATATTTACGTACAAAGGATATGAGAAATGAGGCAGAAGAAAGGCTGAGGGGATAATTACGACAAACGATATTTATAAAAATAAATGATAAAAGTGGATAAATGATAAAAAATAAATAGTGGATAATCGTGAACAATTAAAATGATAATAATAACAGATTAATGATAACTATAATGATAATAGTGAATAATCAAAATAAATGGTAGTTAATGAAAAATGATAATTATAAAAAATAGTGAAAAAAGCGATAGTAATAACAATTATAATTACTAAATTCTAGAAATTAAGCGAAAAAAAAATGTTAGCGTAAAAAATTGCTGAAAAAAAAAATCTGCAGTTGCTATAAGGGAGAAGTTCAACAAGAGTCTGTATACAAGGAGCTCTTT